ACAGCTGATTATTGATCCATACAGACTACCACAGACTGTATCCCACTGGAACCAGCTGCCTTCAGTTTTAATCACTCATTTACAACTCACAGTTATTCTGGATAGAATGTGAATATAAATATATATATATATTTATATAATATATAAGATTTATCTATCAAAATAAAAGCTCAGACACTTTAATGAAATTATTTCTACACACTGGGTGTAAAATGGAGGAACGTGATGTTTACTGTGCGCAGTAAATCAGAGCACCAGGTGTGACAGTTGTGTTCAGTATAAAGAGCTGAGTCAGCAGCTCTGTTTGTTTTCCGGGCTGGTCGACGGCAAGTGTTTACTGAGTAAACCTTCCTCCTCCGCCCTAATTACCTCTGACACACACACACACTGTGCTCTGACTGACTCAGGTCAATAAGTGTTTTTCATTAGATTGTGATTACATACGGCTGCCTGTCAACCTCATGGTGGCGCTACAGTGAAAGATAAAGGGGTCATTAGTATGGAAGCCCATTTCTGCCAGTACAAAACTGTTCTTGATAAGTCAAATTTAATTTGATAAAAGTTAAAATAAAGAAATAAAAAGTTACTGAAAGTAAACTAAAAGTGTCTTACACCATGGGGGTAGGTTTATGCTACTGGCAGTACTGGTCCTCTGTACATTACTGTGGATCTTACTTGGCGTAGGCTTTCTCCAGCAGGGCGCTCCAGAACTCTCCTCCCTCCGCCGAGTGGACGAACAGCAGCTTCCCGTCTTTGGTGGGCAGCCGGTCGTCCACCACCACGTCCACCCACTCGCCGTACTGCCACAGCTGTGCACGAACAAACAAACATAGTGTCAGTTCCTGTACAGGCCCCTCCCACTCCCAGCACAAACATGATTTCACTTCCTGTGGAGGGAATATCTGAGCCAATCAGAGCAGACCTGGAAGTGGAAGATGCCGGCATACTGCGAGCTGAAGCTCTGTCCAGGAGGAACCACCCTGTTCAGGATCTGAGGGTCCAGAGTCAGGGAGGCGATGGCGGCCAGCAGCCAGCAGTCACCTGACAGACACACAGGGGGTCACATGATCACAGCTGAGTGGTCAGTGGTCACGGAGCTGTGTGTGTGTGTGTGTGTGTGTGTTCTTACCCAGCGCTCCCTGACAGATGTCCGTTCTTTTCGCTCCGTCAATGATGAACTGAGGGTCAGAACACAGCTCCTGATTGGATGACACAGCAAATTATCACCATCACCATCATCATCAATTCATCCATC